TCAGAAACCTTACATATATCATTGATGTATAATATAAATAGTTTAGGTCCCAAAACAGAACCCTGAGGCACTCCACATACAATATCCAGCTCACTCGATTGGTATTCACCCAACTTCACAAATTGACGCCTCTGTGTCAAATAACTTCTAATCCATTTCAGAACCTTTCCTCTGATCCCATATTTTTCTAACTTGTCCATTAATAATTCATGATTGATTGTGTCAAATGCTTTTTTTTAGGTCAATAAATATCCCCATCGTGTATTTCTTCTCATCCATAGCACTTGTAATGTCCTCCATCAGGTCGGTAATGGCCAAAGATGTCGATCGGTTCGACCTAAAACCGTATTGGCAATCAGAGAGGATTTTATTTTTTCAATGAATGTATCTAATCTGTTATTAAAGAGTTTTTTCAGAATTTTTGAAAATTGTGACAACAGAGAAACCGGTCTATAATTTGTGAAGTTGTGCTTATCACCAGATTTATACAGTGGAATAACCTTTGCTATTTTCATATTATTGGGGAACTGCCCAAGTCGAAACGACATGTTAAAAATATGGGTTAATGGTTTGCATATCCCCTCAATTACCCATTTAACAGTTGTCATAGTGATACCATCACTATCACTAGATGTTTTGTTACCACATTTATTCACTATCTCTATAATTTCCTTTTCAACTATGGGCTTCAAAAACATAGAACTCATACTTGGTGTGGCAACCTAGCTGCCTCAGAGCAGAACTCAGCCTGGCTGGGTCAAAATGTGGTCCAGGATCTCATCTTTGCCTGGTACCCACTTCTGCTGCTCTGAGTCTCAGTCCTAATTGTGACATTCTGGGGTCACAGGTCACCACCCAGCTCTGGTCACATAGGTGATTGGGCAATAGTGAAGCTGATAGGATTGAAAAGCTAGGGTTTGAGGGGGTGTTGAGCTGAGGTCAGGGGGAGAAGGAGAGTCAAAATTTAGCTCAGGAGATCATCATAAGGTCCAGCTCAGTTGAACAGCAGTCCCTTGAAATAGTGACAGCTAAAGTACCTCAGTGGTCGGATGTGGTGTTAGAAAAAAACACGAGTACTAATTTAGTTTTAGCGCCTACAACTGTGTCTGACTTGAACAGTTTTTATAAAGAATGGTCAAAATCAATAGAGCAGAACCAGAGATATTACCATTTTTATTCCACACATTCTTTCCTTGTCAAAATCTGGTGCCAAACTTACCCACAATACACTTCAACCATGGACAGTTTGGATGGAGATTGGGATGTTAAGCGAGACGCAGAGATGCGAAACTGGCTACAGAGATTAGTTTA